GGCCTCACATAGCCCCTAGGAGGGACATACTGCCTCAGAACATTTACAACAAATACAATCCATTTTTTTTTACAATTTCAAAAGTTTGCCGACAGGAAATGCGCATTGGTTACAAGTAAATTGAAAAGCTGTAACAATTGCATAATTATACAGTAAAATTTTAAACTAACACCTTGTATTTCACTGCCAGTAAGAATAAAATATTTTGTTTTGCAAATGAAGATGAAACTAAAGTCCAAAATAATTAAGTTGAACAAAATACTTCCTGACTGTCTAGTTACAAATCCACATAAAAGATTACAACAGTGTATTAGAAGTTATAAGCATCGCAACGCCACAAGTCTATATGGTCACTCCTATACAAGTCCTTCCCTCACTCATAGACAACACTACAAGTCCTTCCCTCACCCCTACATCACACTACAGATCGTTTCCTCACTCCTTCACCGCACTAAAAGTCCTTCCCTCATTTCCTACACTACCCTGCAAGTCCTTCCCTCACTCGAACACCACACTACAAGTCTTTCCCTCACTCCTACATCACACTACAAGTCCTTCCCTCACTCCTACACAACACAGAGGTCCTTCTTCATCCTACACAGCCCTGAAGTCCTTCTCTCACCCTACACAGCCCTGCAAGTCCTTCCCCACTCCTACACAACATACCAAGTCCATCCCTCACTCCTACACAATATAACCAAGTCCTTCTCTCACTCCTACACAACATACCAAGTCCTTCCCTCACTCCTACACAATACTACAAGTCCTTCCCTCACTCCTACACAATACTACAAGTCCTTCCCTCACTCCTACACAATACTCCAAGTCCTTCCCTCACTTCTACACAATACTACAAGTCCTTTCCCACCCCTACAAAATACTCACAAGTCCATCCCTCACTCCTACACAATACTACAAGTTCATCCCTCACTCCCACATAACATACCAAGTCCATCCCTCACACCTACACAACATACCAAGTCCATCCCTCACACCTACACAACATACCAAGTCCATCCCTCACTCCTACACAATACTGCAAGTCCTTCCCTCACTCCCAAACAACATACGAAGTCCATCCCTAACTGCTACACAATACTACAAGTCCATCACTAACTCCTACACAATACTACAAGTCCTTCTGTCACTCCTAAACAACATACCAAGTTCATCCCTCACCCCCACACAACATACCAAGTCCTTTCCTCACTCCTACAAAACATACCAAGTCCTTTCCTCACTCCTACACAAAACTATAAGTTCTTCCCTCACTCCTACACAAAACTTCAAGTCGTTCCCTCACTCCTACACAAAACTTCAAGTCGTTCCCTCACTCCTACACAATACTGCAAGTCCTTCCCTCACTCCTACACAATACTAACATACCAAGTCCTTCCCCACCCTACACACATACCAAGTCCTTCCCCTCACTCCACACAACACATACTCAAGTCCATCCACTCCCCACATACATACCAAGTCAATCCCTCACTCCCACACAACATGACAGTATTTCATGCAGCAACCACAAAGGGATATAGATAAAGTTCTATAATATCCGAGCAGGATAGGACTCGGAGCAACGGATTCAAGTTGACAAGTTTAGGCTTAGGAGGGAGATATGCGAACTGGTTCACAAATAGGGTGGTGGACGAGTGGAACAAGCTTAGCAACTTTGTAGTAAGTGCTGGAACGCTGGAAAGTTTCAAAAGGAGGCTGGATATATTCATGGATGATAGAGAGTGGTAGTAACTCTCGACAGGAGCTGCCATGCACAGGCCAACCGGCCTATTGCAGACTCCTTATTTTCTTATGTTCTTATGTACCAAGTCCTTCCCTCACTCCTACACAACATACCAAGTCCTTCCCTTACTCCTACACAACATACCAAGTCCTTCCCTTACTCCTACACAACATACCAAGTCCATCCCTCACTCTTACACAACATAACAAGTCCTTCTCTAACTCCTAAACAACATACCAAGTCCATCCCTCACTCCTACACAACATACCAAGTCCTTCCCTCACTCCTACACAACATACCAAGTCCTTCCCTGCAGAGTTAATCACCATCTATTAAGTCTCTGATTCTTGTTTTTCATTCGTCTTCTGAACTGTAATAAATTATGGTCACTGTAAACTACAATTCTTTGTTAGGTGTTGCCAAGATATATGTTAAACTTTTCCAGTACCATAAGCAGAGCCACAGCTTCTTTCTCTATAGGAGAGTAATTCCATTGCACCAGCCCCAACATCACTGGTAAACCATAAATTTTACTTACGAACCATTCAAAATCCTGTCTCTGCCTCGTTCAGTTCAACACGACTTCAATCCATCTGGCAGTCGAACCCGAGGCCTCCATCATCCACAATAGGTACCTTGCCAGTGAGTCACCATACTGTGTTGAATAGTATATACACCAGTGTCAACATTAGATCGGGTCAAAAAGTGCATACATATTTTAAATTGCAATTTAGAATTAGTAATAGTCTAGAAAAGTTGCTCCTTTATAAAGTTTATCAAACCCTAACATATGGTATTGGTCTTGTATTATTACAGTAAAAGATGGCACCAATTTGCAGCCCTTAGCTAATACTACGTAGATCTATCCATACTATTAATACTGAAATGTGCTCCTTAATTTGGGTTACTTAATCAACAAACACCTTTCCTTCAATACCAATATTTTGTTCTTTTTTCCATCAGTATATAATACAGTTATCTCTTATTTTTCCTCTTCAGTGTACAACAGTTTACATTACCCATCATCATCTCTGACGTTTGCCTCGAGCTGCTGGAGGCTGTGTGGATGGGAGGAAGGGTAGGTGGATGGGAGGAGGGGGTGGGTGGGAGGAAGGGTGGGTGGATGGGAGGGAGAGTGTGTGGATGCGGGGAAGGGTTTGTTATTTCTTTTATATTGTTTGACTCTCTGAGGCTGGCTTGAGGTTTACGGCTGACTAGCTGAAGTGAACGGCTGGCTGGCTGAGGTGAATGGCTGGCTGGGCTGAGGCAAATATCTGGCTGGCCAAGAACCCCACCAAACAGATCCTCAATGCCAGACAGGCTGCATGTCGTCATTGGCAAGTACTGGGCAAGAACTGGCTCCAGAATGTATCTGCACCTGCGCCAGTGTTGGTCAAGTCTGGTCTTGAAGGAGCTCACTCTCGGTGCTGTCACACTCTCTGGCAGTGTGTGCCAAGAGTTTACAAACTCAGAAAAAGTTTGCCTTGACAATTTTCCGAACTTGTGGCTTCTTCAACCATAAGCTGTGACCACCCGCCCAGCTAGGCTAGTGGGGCACGTCCCCCAGCTCCAGGTATGAACCCTCGACTGAGTAATGCCCTCTGAGTTGTTTATAAACTTCAATTAAGTCGCCCCTTGACTACCTGTAGTGTAAGCTAGGCAATTCCTGTAGGGGGAGAGATATAAATTTGCCCCACTTAAGAGTCTGATAAAAAACAAACAAATATGAAGCACTATGAGTGTATTGTATGTGGAGATTAAAGAGTCACATGGTATACTGTGCGTGTAAACTGAGAATATGAACAAGTGCTGTGTGTACTTGAACTGTACATACTGCATACCTCCGTCAGTCCCTTACTTAACTGTGATTGGTGGACTAAAATGTAAATCTACCTAATTACAGCCAATAGGAGAACAGCAATGTCAGCACAACACCCCAACTTATGTTTTCCTGTTGGATATTTATTCTCCTTTTCATAGTTTTCAGGATGGAAAAATACTGGAAATGTGTTGGGCAGTGTATATATTTAACGTCATATCTCTCAAAGTTCTAAATACTTATAGTGCAAAAACAACTGCCCCCCAGGGACAGCCCAGGAGCTTGGCGCCACCAGGAGCCTTCCCAGAGGCAGTGGCACATCCAGGGAGCGATGGGCAGTGTATTTATTTAACGTCATATATCTCAAGAGTTCTAAATAGTGCGAAAACAATTGCCCCCCAGGGACATCCTAGGGGTGCCGGTAACCCCAGGAGCCCTCCTTAGGGGCAGCTGTATCCCAAGGAAGCTCCCAGAGATGGTGGCCCCCCGAAAGGACCTCCCAGGAACTACAGCGCCTCAATGGCCCTCCCAAGGATCTCCCAGGGGCCATGGCAGTTTAGAGCCCTCCCAGGGGCCATCCCAATGGGGAAAACACCGCCAGGGGTTCTTCCAGGGGCGGCGCCGAGCCCATGGGACCTCAATGGGGCGACGGCATCCCTATGGGGCTCTCCCAGGAGCTTGGCACCACCAGGGGCATTCCCAGAGGAGGTGGGTCCCCTAGGGACCCTCCCACAGACAGCAGCGCCCTCGTGGGCCCTTCTCGGACTTGAAATTTAGTGGGATTAACTAAGGGACTCTTGTAATACATGTATAAAGATTGGGGATATGAAACGCTATAAAATTGCTTATTCAATCATTTATTTCATTTGGGTCTGGAAAACATTTGATAATAATTACCCTACATGCTTGTTCCTGAACTTCAATGCAAGGGATCTTTTGTAACATTTCAATAAAAAGGAACACATAATTCTTAATGTGATTATCGTACTTGACAGGGTGACCATGAGAGATACTTTACAGTATAAGTAATATAAATTATACCTGTACTGTACATGTATTTTACTTGCAGTTTTAAAAGTTTACTAAATACTGTCTGCATATTGACATAAAACCGTAGCACTTAGTGCTTATTGTTACCGACTGTTAGTAATGAATAGTGTGTGTGTGTGTGTGTGTGTGTGTGTGTGTGTGTGTGTGTAATAATAATAATAATAATAATAATAATTAACGGTTTATTGAAAGAGCATGGCAGCCGGAAGGCTGAAAATATACAGTTACATAATTGGGGAATTTGTCTCTTGATTTACAAATATACAGGTAACATAAGTGATACAAATATGATATTAATAACTAGGTGGAGAGAAGCTCAACTACAGGGCATTTCAACATAGTGACAGTGCAAAAAGTAAGATTGATTGGGAGTGAATACACTGGTTTTGAGAGAGAGAGAGAGAGAGAGAGAGAGAGAGTGTGTGTGTGTGTGTGTGTGTGTGTGTAGATTAAGGATACATCTGTGAATAACTGGCAGTAATACACTCAACTTGCTTCATATTTGACTAGTTGGTGTTGGACAGATGAATGAAGCTACATTACGAAGGTCACAGCTCTCTTATAAATGTTCAGTAATAATTCAACACAGAATCTGGTATTGATGTATCTTTCAAATCAATATACAAAGTAATCCTTTTTCTCTAGTTTATGACTTGTCTAATATTCACAGTATCTGACTAAATTAATGAAAGGTAGATACAGTGAGTCATGAGTTTCCAGATAACTTATCCTGTTAATATTCCTAATGTTATTATGCTTCAGACACGCCACCTCCTATAAGTCTTGCAGTTACTCTGGTTTCCTTCATTTTGTCATTCAGTAATATACCTCAGACAGATTGTGCAAATCTTTATCTTATTTGACTTCCTCTGATTAAGGTCATCAGAATTTTGACTGTCTCGAAGGAAGTGACGCATGTGAAATTTAATATATTTAAAGCTAATAACTTATGGCAGTGATTTTTGGAAGTATTGTAATGAAACAGAAGCTGAAATGTGGCTCAAGTTTTCACACCTGATAATTTGATCGTTTTATAAAAAGCTTAAACAATAGTATAAGTAATGGTGGCGCTTAATCTACTAATGTACACATAGGATTCACAGTAAATTACATTATTTATAACCAATAAGTACAAATAAGTAATGGATTTATCGACAGTTGCGGGAGTTAAGAGATACAGTATTGGCTTAGAAATCAAACTTTCTAATTTTGGTTTATATTTTGCTTTTCGATTTCCTCTGCAATATTCACTAATTTGCAGCAGTTAACAGTTGATTAATTATCATAACAGACACAAGTACATAGAAATTATCGATGCCAGAACACGAAACAGTCTCCTAAACAATAAAAACAAATTAATAATCTATCTAGTGACGCTGAATGATTTGAAACGAGGACATCTAAAGGATCCTTAAGACTTTACTGTACAGTATCTTAAAGTTAGAGTAATTTAACTTAAATCTGTCTAACCCGAGTTAGGTGATATTATTGAACTAAGGGATGTTAATACAGTGTATTGGTACATCTCGATTGGTCATCAGAACTCTTCCCTTGAATCCTCATTGGTGGATGACAAGGATATGGTATTTAAGGTAAATAGACAGTTCTCTCGAGCTTTATGTCGATTTCTACTGTATACTTAACTATCCTTACTATGATAGAAACTAGTTAAATGCTGCACACATATGAATCCTTCATGGGTTTCATTAACCAAATAATCCAAATTTCTTTCTAGTTCATAATGCACAATGTTCTCAATGTTTTATAAACATTTTCAGGAAATAGTTACTATTGATTTCATCATAATAATTATTATGACACTATCAATACCATACAAGTCGAATAAAATATGTACATCTTGTGTGTTACATCAGTCTGCAACATATTTACTTTTGGGATAACTTCTTGCACATTAAGAAATATTGTCCAACAAGTCAATATAACTTGGCAGTTGGTTTGCAAGAACTCCAAAATGCCACCACATATACTGTATAAGTCTTTACTCTCTTCTTTCACTGATTGTGATGGTAAAATAGTCATTACTACTGCATCTTAAGTGTTAGTTAAGTAATTAATGTTGTGGATACAGTACTTTAGATATACGAGTAAAAAATATTAAGTTGTGCAAACTAACGCGATAGATTTCCAATTTGAGAATGAATCTGAGAGCTCAACGTATGTGAAAAAGGTATCGTGCACCTTGAAGCATATTATTTATATCAGTATATTCAGTATGGGCAGCCAGTGAATATCTTATGGATGAATATCAACAGAAACTACACGACTTGATTTCCTGATTATAAGAGGAGACATTTAATGCTTCCCAGTGGCGAGTACATATACTATACATGTACCGTATAATGGTTAACGAGATATCTGTTAGTTGATAAGTGGAACCTTCGCCAGATGTTATCCTTTATGACTTGTAACATCAAATTTGCAAATCCAATGTTTTTTGTCTTTTTACCAGTGTACAGTAATCTATGATGAGCAAACTCTTCCTCTTAACTGTACTGTATTTGGCTTTATTTTGCATCATGTTCTTTCAAATATCTCCAGTCATCAAGAGTACTGAATATACATACCTTTGATGCAGGTTAAATAAATAACAAAGCTTACTGGGGAATTACTGGTTACTGTAACACATCTCTTAACTTGAGATTTGCATTGCGAACAAACCTCATAGAAGTAAAAAGTTAGCGCCATTTAGATCAAATATTTGCTTTTAGCATTTTTCGTCTTCCAGGACATTCAGCTTATAAGATTTGGATTTATTATATCAATATTATGCTTGACAAATATGTGATATAGCTCAGCTAAGTGTAAAGAACTTTTCATCCAATTGTACTTGAATATCTATTAGTGGATAGAAATTAATCTGTTGGAAGGTTCAAAACGTTTGTATTGTTGACACGCTCACATTTGTTACTCCCGACTCATGTTTCCTCAGCACATCGATTCATTTTACTTTATCCTCTTCGCTACCATTCTTCATCTCTGTTTATCATACCTTCACCTGGCTTAATACTTCCTTCAAGACACTGATATAATTATGACTTTGTTACCTAACAAGATAAAAGTTGGCGAAGAAAATGTTTTAGACTCACACATGGCTCCGTGATCACTGATTTAGCTCTTTTGGATCTTCTCCGCGGATCCAAAATCTTTTTATGTTCGTGATGACATAATGGGCTTGTCTCCTACTCAAAAGAATCATCATCAGCTCAACTCGACGGGGATGTCCGCTCTGTCTCGCTGCTCACTCGCTGTGATGAATGAGACTGTTGGGGAAGACAGGGATGTTAGAAGTAAAAGAACATAAGTAATTGCAGTGTACAGTGTAATGAAAGATCCTACACAGCTGTGTGTTCTAAGCACAAGATTAATAAAGCTGAATATAAAAAAATGTACAGTAGACCCTTGCCATTCGCGGGTTTGCAATTGGCGGTAAACAAACGGTGGCTATGGTGACTAGCTCGAGAGCCTTTTCCCGCAGTGTCTCATGCTGTACTCTCAAAACTTTAGTGTTTGTGTGAAAATGGCTCCTTAAAGACTGCCTAGTGTCAGTGCTAGTGATGCTAGTGAAGTGAAACGTAAAAGGCAGAAGTCAGTGATGACCCAGACAAAGAAAATAGAATTACTGTATTCGAAAAGTTAAAGGGGGGGATGAGTGCTGCCGCAGCTGGTCGGTTGTTTGGTATAGGTATACAGCAGTACACTAAGGTAGTATAAGTTGCTATTTGTGGTTTTGCCTATTCACACCATTCCTTGGAACCCAACCCCCGTGAATAACAAGGTTTTACTGCACTGGAGGAGCTGGACATTAAAATTGATTACAATGATTATAGAAGCTGAAATTACAATTATTTACTGGCAATTTCATTTTTAGTTTATAAATTGTTTAGTGTATGTTAAACAACATAACAATAATCTTAATTCAACAAGAATTATGTAAAGTACTCAACACTTACTTCTGTCTCCTTGATGCATAAAGTGAAGAAAATTGGTTTTAGTCAACAAAATTTAATACTGAAGTTGTTGTCAGTGACTTGTCATACTACACAAGAAATATAATTACCGTAAGATAAAATATTTAGTAAGCACAAACACCTTGTTATTTTGCACTCATTAAATGTATGTTAGACATGTGTTGTGTGCTAAAAGCACTGATTGTTAGACTAATTTATGACTTATCAAAGTGATATGAAAACTTTTCTCTTGGGGGACCTTTTTTAATAAAATGGTTCTGCTTATAGCTGGGAGGGTTGATACCGTGTCAATGAGGTTCACTGATAATGCAGGTCTCCCATGGGGTCAGAGCCATAAAGTGATTCTGCTAAGTAAACATTGTTATGGTGTATTTACCGTCCTTCTCCGTGCACTTGGGACCTAGCCAGCCAGGGGTGCAGGAGCAGTTGCCAGTGGCGGGATGACAGCTGCCTCCGTTGTGACACTCACACACCTGCTCACACCCTCTGCCATACCTGCCTGTCCCACATGCTGACACACAAAATGTTAACATTAAACTGGATCACTTCAGGTAATCATGTTTAAATTCTTTTACATTACAAACTGTAGTGCTACTTGAAGTTAATTCACATATCAACACTAAACATAATAGTGACCACGGACTAAGCTTATAGGGTTATGGTAGAGGAGAGGGAGGGAGATGCTGAGGCTCTACAAGAACCAACTGTACCTCTGAACCTACAGCAGAACTTGCAATTATTTTCACATGGGATAAGGCATTTTCCAGAGACACTAACAAGTACCGAAGTTTTCTCACATTTGTTTCTAGTGTAACCTACTAGTCATCCACCCGATACTATACACACAGCTGACATAGTTTAAAATCATATTTTGTTAAAATTATCAGCAAAAACTTCTCTGAAAATTCTATGAACCAAATACAGTACCTATATAAAAAAAACTTTGCCCTAATCCTAAACAAACTGAGATCGGCTGTAATCATTTGGATTGTAGGTTCAGAGAATATTTTTGCGGGGTAATAAGCTAAATGTCTGCAAAAGTTTCTATAAATTAATTGAGAGTCTGACATGAATGATTATGATGATGTGCTGATAAATACCGGTATAATGAACTAATTGAATGGTGGTATGGGTTTGTTTTATAAAGATTAATTCACCATTCTAATGCTTCTATTATTACTCACTAACAAATACAGGATTACAATGAACAGTGTGTTACAACCAGTGAAGAAATGTAACTTTATACTGTACAGTATATACCTGTACTGCACACTTTAATCGATTATAAGAAATTTGTAATGTTTGGCATATACCTTTCTGATCAGATTATTAATGACGACTGGGCAACAATTTTCCTATCATGGGATTACCACAAGAGTCAGTAAAGGCACCACTCAGCAACATGTCAGAGGTGTCCACTGAAGTAGCACAATAACAATACAAGTATAAATATTTGTCATAGCCTATTGTTCTGCGTATTCAAGGTTTCAGCAATTACCTAGGAAACTGTAGTTTGCTAACAAACAAAATAGCCACACTGTGTCTTATATCCCAGCCTACTTAGCAAAACGACTCATAAAAGATTACATCCTGGATAACCCTGTCTCAAATAACTGAAAAAAAGTAAAATTAAGGCAACAAAGATTTAACAATTGAGTAGTGATATGAAATAAATGAACTGGATAGTAAGAAGTTATAACAAGAACAGACGGCAACTCCAGGTACTTACGCATAGCACAATTTCTTGCCTTGGTGCCGGGCGGACATTGACACTCGCCAGTCCCTCTGTGACAAGGGTACTGCCCACATTGGCATTCCTCCCGACAATGGACACCAAACTTTCCTGAAAGTGTATACGAGATGAATATCAGTTCAGGCACATGACTCGTGACCTCCTGAAGACATAATGGTACAGTGTTACTCGAATAATTTAGTACCTTCTGAATTGATCTAAAAAAAATTACCAAATAGTTTTCAACGTAAAAAAAAAGTATAGAAAATGTTAAAAAATTAAGGTAAAGTGATGATAAGTTCAGGAAGGGCACAGTATTATGTTTCGTAGGCCCTCCTCCATATACCAAAAGCTTTTATAACTATATCAATTATGTTGTTAATTATGCCTTGCCTGAACCCAACATCTAATAAAAAATAAATTACCACATGTCTGTTTGGTTGATGCATCACCTTGCTCCTATAAAGCATTCATTGGCCAGGCTTTATTGTGATTACTGAGAATGCAAGTATGTAAAGTTACATAAGTAGTTAGTTTACCTGATTTATTTTAAAGAATATACAGTGTAAATGTGATATGAAATAAGTCATTTTATGCAGCAAACATAGGGAGATGGTTTATACTGGGAGTTAGTTCGTTGACTTCAGTTCAAGGAGAGTTTTTCAGAGCAAAGACTTACTTTATCAGTGAAGTTTATATAATTATTTACATATTTCCTAAACTACCTAATGCTTCCTCACCCTGAACAGAGATAATGTTGGGTAGAGACAGGAATAAAATGTTTATAATATACCGTTCACCTGCCTGCTTCTAGTGTAAAATAAGATTATAGTAAGCTTAGAGAGTTTATCTCGCTCTTGTCCAGACACAACACATTGTAACATAAATGGCTGGTTTAGACTTGTTTGGGGCAGACTTCATATACAGTACTAGCATAGGTGTAAACTGACCTGAGGACATGTGTGACATACCTGGAACCAGTCATCATATACATTAAAACAGATGTGAACCAACCTGGGAGGCAGGTGTCAGTGCATCTGTCACCCGTAAAGCCTGGCGCACAGCGGCACTGGCCAGTATGTGGGTCACAGGTGGCACCGTTGTGGCAGTCACACACACCAGCACAGTATAAGCCATAGAACCCTGATGGGCACTCTGAGGGGAAGGTATAATCTAACATTAATGTGTGACTACCAGACTGCAGCTTTTCACATATAAAAGGATTACACTGTGTGTCACTTGTTATAGTTAATATATTGTTAACACAAAAATATTATTGTGTAATGTACCCAGTTCACAGTAGCGGCCATAACTGCCAGGGCCACACTGACAACATCCAGAGAAGCGGTCACACGACACATTGTGATGACAAGCACAGTCCAGCTGACAGTTGGGACCATAGCGGCCCGGGCTGCACTCCTGACTGCAGTCTATCCCAGTCCATCCTAACCCACACTGACACTCCCCCGTCTCTGTGTAGTAAGAAAAAACACATTTTACCGTTTATCAACATTGTATGTAATATTTATTTAACCTGAGAATGTTACCCGATAAAATTTATTAACTTTCAAAAGGCTTATGATAAGAGTAAATGGGGAGGATGTGTTTAGGTGTAAGAAAACTAGGTGCTGAAGGGACACCCACTAAAGGTAGTTATGGGGTTTTTATAAAGAATGTATGAGAAGCAACAAGAGATTTATTGACTGATTTGAAATGAAAGATGGAATATGCCAATGATTAGTTGTTATAATCAGGGTGGTTTAAATTTTACAGTATTTGCTGATGAATTATTGAGAGATTGTGATAGCCAGGGAGACACTAAAGGAGAGTTTAAGTACTTCATAAGGAGGTTTGTTTACAGTGTTCATTCCTTTTCTCCATATGACCATAAATATAGAAGCAGGAAAAGATAAAAGTAATGACACAGGAACAAACATAGATTCAGTGAGTTACCTGGATGACAGATGGCGTCGTTTTTGCAGTGGCACTTGAGGGCACAGTGGAGGCCCCAGTTCTGATCAGGGCATGAGGTCTGACAGCTGGAACCTGTGTACCCTGCTGGACACTGACACTCTCCAGACTTGGTGCAGACACCCTTGTGCTCACACTCACACGTCTGCCATATAAACAGATTATTAAACCATTGTGTCCAGGGCTTAATCTCCAGCCAGGACATATGTGAGAAGGGTGTCACTCAGTGAAGCTCCACCAAACTTAGCAGGTTTTCTTTGGGAGTCTCGGTAAACTGGTTATCCTTTAGTTGTAACACTGGACAATGAAGGTCATAACACAGTAACAAAGAGCAGACCAACCACCTGAATGGCTAGTAAGCTGGTAATTGTTGAAACGTTAAAGTAAAATCAATATACAGTAACGTTAGTCGTGCACAATGGGAATTCGAACACTGATCATACCATACACTGTACAGCACAATAATTAGATCATACCACAGCATAATTTAAAATACTGTATAAAAATTAAGCGTATTTACAGGGGCAAAGTGAAACAAAATCAAGGCAATATAATTAACACAGTCTACAATGTGGGAAAGAGAATCATCGAAAATGGGCGACTAATGATATAATTATTAATTCTTTTAGTAATGGTTCTGTTCACATATATATATATTATATACAGTATATTTTTGGTGACAGTGTAAGGAAGAGCAAGGAAAAGACAATTTAAATGGACTGTTGAACTTAATTATCCCCAAAATGAAAAGAATCAACTACAATATTACAGCAAACTGTGACAAATCTTGTGTAAAATTCTGTAGATAATATTATTAATTACTGTACGTCCTTGAACCAACAACATCATAAAGTTTGAATTGGTAATACGCTGCAACAAATAAAATCATTATTTTCATGAGTCAGATACTGTACTGTAATTGTTTCACTTGATAAGTGAAAGTTTTCCATTTAGAACATTAACTTTCAATATTAGTATTGGTATTAATAGTATGATCAGTAATCCTCAAAAACACATTCCAAACACATGATCTTTCCTCATGAGTATAACGTGTGTGTGTGTGTGGGGGGGCGGCTTCAATTTGAATTCTGCCACATACAGCATAGAGTTTATTGTATACACTTTTTTGCACTTAGTAGCTAAGTCACTTCCCATGTATATATTTAAATACACACACGTATGCATGGCCTATTGCCTTACACTGTGGTATATATGCAGGTGTGAATAAGTCAACCTCTATGTACATAACTAAAGAAATAATGTTCTGAAAATATTTTGTAATATTCAATGCCATAATATCCTGACAATTGGGTCTCTCACACAACACCGATTATTAAAGAAAATTATGAATAACTACTAACCTAAGTGGAACAAAAAATACACATGAAAACAAGCCTTGTCATCCAGCCATCACCACACTTGCAACTCTTGTGGGACCATTGCACACAGCTGCTCTATCCACCATGATCGACTTGTACTGTGTTATAGTAACTAAACCTTGAAGGTAGTGGAGGAGATTACTTGGTTGCTAATGTAGCAGAGGCTCACCTGGTTACAGCCAGAGCCAAAGGTGTTGGTGGGGCAGGGAAGGGAGCAGGTGGGGCCGTAGTAACCATCGCGACACTGACACTGGCCACTCACTGGGTCACACGTCCCTCTGTTCTCACACTTACACCTCTGTGGCAGAAATTGAACACAAAGATACTGAATTTATCTTACACTTCCAAACACTTACTGTCACATTATTTTTGTAGATGGTCAAGCATCACACTAAACTCAAATGAATGACCAACAGTTATCAAATATTTTCATGCCAAGTTTTACAAAAAATTCGTCCACCCTTCAAGAGTCATCGTGCCCCTTTTACGTCAAACCCCGCCTATCTCAACCCTGTTACACCCCAACCTGTATTTGCCCTGACCCATCATCTGTATACATGGGCATCTGGAAGAGCCCATGCTTTGGCTATTAATATGCCATTCTGCAGAACCAACCAAAATTGACCCAGGATTAACAATGTGGAACTGTGCCACAGCATTTATCAACATAATATTCTCCAATGGCATCGAGTATGCTCAAGGGGCATTTTCAGCACAGTCAAAGCCACAATTATACAAGGCCCAACTCCTCAACGTGTGAACCATCAGCACTGGGAGGCTACACCTACGCTTACCTGCTTGCAGTCGACGCCATATCTACCTCTCGGACAGCCTCTTCGACACTTTCGACCACGAAGACCCGCCGGACAGAAACACTTGCCATTGGCCGGGTCACACAGGGCCGACCTGGCACATTGGCACTCCTGGTGGCACTCCTCTCCCCATTGCCCCTCAGCACAGTCTGTGAAGGCATTGACCATATACAGTAATGCATATTTTCTGGTTATACTAGAAATAATTAAAAATTAAGAAGTCCAATCACGACACAACATTACACGGAATTATTCTAGTAATTCTGTAATCTACAAATATAGTGATTCTTTCTATACGTAGTTAAAGTTATCAACCATGTGTAAAGAAAGATCTGGTTCTTAATTCTATGTGGATCAAATAGACAGCAGACAGAAATTTGGCCGTGTCCTTCAAAAAAATTCTACAGTCAATAATAATGACATCAATCCACTCGAGAAATGACTGGCATTACCAAAGAACCATCACAAATGAAGTAAACAAGGAGGAAAAATTGCAAAGACATGAAAAATGAGTTTAGATGTTTGATGACCAAGAGCATGTGTGTGTGTGAGACCAACCAGGATGGATCTGTTAGGTCTGCAGGAGGTGGACATAATTGTCAACAGGAGAGACAAAGTTCATGGCTTCTGGCTTCTGATGTTCTTCTATGATGGTATGTGTTAAGGTTATTGCAATTACTCACACTCATGACACTGCTGTCCTTGGCGGCCGGGAGGACAGTTGCAGGCGCCAGTCACGTGGTCACATGGCTGGTCTTCCTCACACCTACACACCTCCTCACAATCATTCCCAAAGAACCCACGAGCACAGACTGGAAGGGCAAATAAATTGTTATATATTAACTTAATTATTATTGAGTAGAATAACCACATAACTCTTAACTACTATACCGTCAAAGCATTAATTCTTTTATGCCATTTTTTTTAAAAATAACAACCTTTTAAAAATGTATTTAAAGAATCTGGTAAGGAAACACTTACTAAACTGGCATTTGTCACCCATGAGGCCACGTGGGCACTGGCAGTCTCCAGTGATGTGGTGACAGGCGCTACCATGTTCACAGTCACACACCAGCTGGCATCCGTCACCCCAGAAACCTGGGGCAGGTAAGCTATTATAAGATGTCTAGTTCATGGTAGTTATTTTATTGGAAAGAAATACAGGAGAAACTTTGTAAGAATTTGCCTATAAGAAATCTATGCTTTTTTTTCAATATTAAAAGGTAAGTCTCACAAGAATCAATCTTTATTCAAAGGATTAGACTTCAGTTGAGATAAGTTAATACTCTACACACACGAGGAACACAAAGAAATTATTTAAAACTCATTTGATATCACCAGAGTTTTCCTGATTTCCATAATTATCTAAGGATGGTTTTATTGTATACTTGTAAGAGTCAGGTTGAAGGATTAAAAGTTTGCTTTAAAAGTTAAAAATGTAATATTTTCACTGGGCATGAGTTAGTTTGTTGACTGCAGGGGTCATACAGTAAGTCTCCACTAGTTGTGTTTTGTACCGTTCAGGGTTACAAATTCTTCGTGCACACATACTTTTCCTCCTGTCCGTCTTACTCTCAGTGGTACTGACCATGGTAATTTCAGTCACGCTGGTAGTAAAATTCAGACTTAACTTGATCACGTTTTCACTCACCTTTAAGGCAGGGTTTGTGGCAGTGTTGGCCGCGCCAGCCTGGGGTACACTTGCAGGCCCCCGTGACAGGATCACATTGGCCACCGTGTTGACAATGACACTCCAGCACACACCCGGAGCCATACCTGCCTGACTCACAAGCTGAGAAACAACAGTGTGTGTGCTTACATAGTTTTGATAAGAATATTGTAAGATTTTACAGTAAATCCTCAATGAGAGAATAAAAGGGAATTTATAAAGTACTTACCAGTTTCACAATAAGTGCCATAGAAGCCTGGGGAACACACACAGGCACCGGTGTCATGCTGACAGCTAGAACCGTGCTGACACAAACAGGTGTGCTGACAACCGCTGCCATAGGTTCCTTTCGGACATCTGTCCTGGCAGGTAGCACCAGTGTGTCCTGGGGGGCACACACAGGCACCAGACACACGGTCACAGATGCCCCCGTTGTGGCAAAGACATAGATTCCGACAGTCACTACCCCAGCGATCAGCTGAACAAGCTAAAAGGTAGGAATAAATTAATGGTAATAGTACTTAATATATCCCCCCCCTCCCCCTTCCTGTCTAAAATAAATCAAGAAATTGAAGATATGATACCGTACTCACTCTTGGAGCAGTGTTGACTATGCTTGCCGGGAGGGCAGACGCAGACACCCGTGGCAGGGTCACAAGTGGCACCAGTATCACAGTTACAGTGATGTCGGCAGTCCAGCCCCCAGAACCCATCAGGGCACGGTCGTGAACAGAAGGTGCCTCGCCAACCTATTTAGAGAGAAATAGAAAATGACCAATTCCTGTATAGTTTCCTGGAACACTGTCTGGGGCTGCACTGGTTTAATTTGTTAAATAAGAAAACAATGCTCTGTTTATACTTTTTTCAGATATGTGAATTATAAGTCAACCCATAACATCACAGTCCACAATGATCCTGAATGACTGGGGCAAGTCAGACTTTTTACAAAACTCCAGAGTAAACTGTGTGAGGTATTAATTAACAATTTAGTGTACCTGGCTGGCACGTGCAGGCGCCAGAGATGTGGTCACACTTGGCGTCGTTGGCACAGCTGCAGTTCATAGCACAACCAGACCCGTAGCTGGCGGCTTCACACGCTGAGGACAAGTGTTCACACTACAGTACACACACCCTCTGATGCAAGGACCTGGATGATGGGCACTCACTGGCACATATTGTATCTTCATCCACATTTCATTGACTGACTGTAAGAGTGCGCATTTTATTTAAGAAAAATAAACCTGATCAGTTAGCAGACAAAGCCGTAGCACATGTAGGTGAAATTTGAACAGTGACAAGTACTTACGGAGTTTACACTGAGGTCCTCGCCAGCCAGGAGCACAAGCACACTCGCCGGTCACACGGTCACAGCCTCCGTTATTGTCGCAGTGACACACATGTACACAGTCTTGACCGAACCTCCCTAAAGGACATGGCTGCCCACAACTTGCACCCGTAAACCCTGGCAAACACTCGCACCTACAAATACCACATTACATAAGACGACATATTCTCCATACCAGGAAAAGATAAGTTTTCACACAATCCTCACATTTCAGAGAGGCTTTACTAAGCAATAAATATGTGACACAAACTTCTAGTTTAGTAAAGGCCAAGGGATGTATCCTGATCAAAGGGTCCCTTGTGTATCTAAGAGACTCTATCCAACACAACGATTTATGAACTCATTTAATGGTCCCACTGCCCAAACCTTAGACCATAGAATCCACATCAAGGCACCAGCTCAAACAAAAAATACCAGTACTCTATCAAGGGCATAAAAATCCCATTCAAATCTAGTGTCTCCACACCAAAGTCTCAGTACCCACCCTGAAGCCCGGTACTAAACCAACTCATTCTAGTGTACCAGTACTCACCTTGATATATACACCCAAAAACCTCAGTACCCACCCTGGGAATCCCACTACCCACCTGCTGGTGAGGTGGTGGCAGGAGGCACCATTGAGGCAGTTGCAGGTCTCACTACAGTCCACACCAAACCTGCCAGCAGGACACGGTGACTCACACGCTGGACCCTGTCAACCAAAACTCACTCAGGACTTGTACCATTTGTACCATGAAATGTAATGGGTGGACTAGAACCTGAACAATCTGTACCAAAAGTAGAAGTTGTTCTAAAACCTGTACAGTATTAAATTTATCAAAAATTGTACCAGTTAACCTAACCTATCTTAGATGTTGCACCACCTGCACTATTTCTTACCAGTTGGACCTGGATTTGTGCCAGTAATCCTATCATCTGTATCAACCAATTCAGATTCTGTACTATATGTATACTTCGTTCCAGCTGTATTAGTTCTTGGCACAGCTAGTAACTTTCTGATCGTCATGTAACCAGCTGTGCCAGTTCCTACAGCAGCTGTGCTGAATACAGTACTTACTGTACCAGAACCTATGGCAATAGTACCTAGGCCAAAATTTCCTGTATCAAGTCTTGTACCATTTACACCAGATCCTGTAACCAGCAGATTTAGTCTTCCAAGGTATCAAGAGGTCATAACGAGGTTACATCATCTTGTGATACACAGGTAATAATGTATACAGTACATGTAAAAAGGTACACAGATGATATATACATATTAATGTTAAACAAGTAGTGGACACACATGTAATAATATATATATATATATATATATATATATAATATTATATATATATATATATATATATTATATATATATATATATATATATATATATATATATATATATATATATATATATATATATATATATATATATATATATATATATATATATATATATATATATATATATATATATATATATATATATATATATATATACAATATAGGCAAGTAAATCACGCCAGGTGCGGCGTGATCTGGGTATGTGCTGATAACCACAAGGAAAGAAATACAGAGTTCCCAAGCTTCGTGTACTCACTGAAGATGTGAATTACAGGCGCTTGGGCGTGTTTCTTTCTCATATGTATAGCATATATATATATATATATATATATATATATATATATATATATATATATATATATATATATATATATATATATACATACATATATTATATTTTATATATATAATATTATATATATATATATTATATATATATATATATATATATATATATATATATATATGTATATATATATATATATATATATATATATATATATATATATATATATATATATATATATATATATATATATATAATCACAATAAATACCTAATAATATTAGGCCTCAAGTGTTGTACTTCCATAACAAAGCAGATATTGTCACTCAACAACATCTGAGACACGATATAGTGTATTTCTAACACAAAACTCACGACAAATCCTGATGGGCAGTGACATTCCCCGCTAACACGGTCACAAGTGGCACCATTTTGACACTGGCACTTCTGCTGGCAACTCTGGCCCCATCGACCCTCAGGACAATCTGGTGAATATTATCTATCGTTAAAGTTGTCTTAAATCTGTGTTTTGGATAAGACGCATAGCATGATTGAGGATTTGCTTTTGTTGAGGTTTAATGGAAGTCACTGACAATTGTGAGGTTTTTAACAGTAAATATAAACATAATATACCAATACAATAAGTATTTTCACACTTATAGCCTCCAATGTGAGGTCCTATGTATAATTTGCTTCCAGAAGAAATTTGTTTTATTAATCCTGTTTAATCTAAATCTTTCAGGTAGACATAACTTAAAAACAAAGCCAAACATATACTAGGGTATTTTATCCTCTTCACCTGTCTCTGGGAGGTAGACAGAGACAAAGGTACTCACGCTGGAGACAGTTAGCGCCGTGTGTGCCGGCAGGACAGACACAGACACCAGTGGCCGGGTCACATGGCCGTAGTCCACACATACAGGTCTTCATACATCCCGGACCATAGTGACCAGCCTCACATGCTGCCAGGAGGGATTACAGATACAGTGATGGACCCTACTAAACTATATACAGTGAGTTCTGCTATAATGCGTGTTTTGACAACGCGAATTTGCTCGAACGCGATTTATGAATTGAGGAACGATATTTGTAAAACGCGAACTCGTTTGCTCTAACGCGATTCCACTCAAACGGTTGTTGTGGCTTCAGTTCACGTTCGACATCACATGTTCAATTGAGTTATGTGTTTTGTTTGTGAACAATTGCAGAAATAATGTATGTAATATTTATGTATACAGTATACCTATATATTATAAGTAAATTGTAAAATTTTACATAAAAGAGAAAATCAAATTACATAGCGTTTTACACCCGCGCTCTCTCTACATCACACACAGTGTTTACAGTTCACGTTCGACATCACATATTCAATTGATTTATGTGTTTTGTTTGTGAAGAATTGCAGAAATAATTTATGTAATATTTATGTATACAGTATACCTGTACAGTATATGTAAAATGTAAACTTTTAAATAAGAGAAAAACAAAATACATAGCGTTTTAGACCCGAGCGCTCTGTTTACTCCACACTTTGTTTGAAACACGTGTGAAGTTTTTAAGTGTCCTCAGTGAATTCTGATTACTGTTTCTCCAATTTTGTGACCATGGAAAAGAAGAATATCTCTGGGAAGCACTCTGGTGATCGCATTTCCGGTGGTGATCGTAAAAGAAAGGCTATAACACTTGAAGAAAAGCTTGATGTTTCATGACTCCTCAGCCTCAACATCACCCTTATCCCCCATCAAGTTATATTCATATTTTTTCAAGGTAAAGTGTAACATTTACTGTATGATTTCATTATTAGATATGAATGTAACATTTATTTAGACTGTGCTATCCTTTGTGTTAGGCTAACTACGAAATTTTTTTTCGATTTGGAGTAATCTGCACCTAACCCTATTTTCTCCATAAGCCCTGTTATTTCTATTACACGAATTTCTATAACACGATGTTTTACAAGAACACTACTATCGCGTTACTACCTGTACCTAAATAATATAATGTAATCAATGTCACATCACTTCCACCTAACAAGAAATTAAGGGCAAGTCAAAAACAAACCCTGCGGCCATAATAATTAATGCGTCAGCTTAACACACGAATATGTGGAATTACTGCTCTTGCATACTCTGATGTATTCATCCTAAATGGTCACTATAAGATACAAGGAGTTGGCAAGTTTACGTATGGTACAGTCGGATCCTGTGAAACCCGGTGGACAGTCCTGGAAACAGACGCCTGTGGCAGGGTGGCAAGTGGCACCGCTGGCACACTGGCACTCGTGTAGACAGCCAGCACCCCAACGGCCGGGTAGACATTCCTGGGAACAGTCAGAGCCAACGTAGCCCGGGCTGCACTCACACACGCCACTCTGGGAAAAGTAAAATAGATTGAGAAATGTGGTGCTGTGAGGGAAGTAAAGACTAGACTAGATCTGAAAAACAAGAAATAACTATCTTAAAATGTATAATGGACAAAAAGTTATACTGTATGTAGCAATTGTTGTCATCTGTTACATGTACAGGTCTAGGCAGTCAGTCTCGTATGTCTTCATCTAAAAGTGCAGGTCTTTTACAGTAAATGCAGATTAATACTTCGGCGTGGCATCGGGCAGTGGTGCGAGCCTGGCACTGGCACTGATGGCGGCAGTTAGGGCCCCAGGTGAGGGCCGGGCAGGGCATGTTACACTTGGGCCCGAAGCGTCCTGGATCACACTCACAGAAACCGAAGACTCTGTTGCAGCGCATGTTGGGGCACATCATGGGGCACCGCCGCTCACACTTACTGCCATAGTACCCTGGGCGAGAAATAGGCAAGTAAATGATGAGAGGAAACAATTTGGAAGCTTCCTGGGTGCACAGAGGCATTATCAGGGAGGAGAGTGAACCTTAAGTCAGGAAGGGATTAACATCACCTTACAGCTTTGAATGTCAATCTTACTTTTAAGTATTACTGTACAGTTAGGATTTTGCTTATCAAAAATTTCCCTGAAAATGCATGTACAATGTGAAAAAGTTTATACCGGACAAAAACTTGGACACTAGTATAAAACATAAGTATAATATTCATAAATCTCTCTATTTGTTGGTGTGGGTGGCCAGCATTACACCCTAATCCAACCTGACTATCAAAACATTACTTGTGGCAATTTTTTAACTCACCAGCAGGACATCCATCTTCGCACAGGTCACCGGACACACCTGGTGGACAGGTACAGTTGCCGGTCATGGGGTCACAGGTGCCATCATTCTCGCATCTACACACCTGTGGCATAGACGGATAATGCCTAGAACACCCTCTCCCTGACAGAATGTACCATATTGAGACTCAAATGAGATTGCCAGTGGCTCGAGACTGGTTGGTGGTTTGCTTAGTTATAAGTGGTGCCATAGTAACCTGGCAGTAACGTGAAACATGAGGATCATGTGAAGGTCTTTACCTAGTTACAGGCAGGGAAATAATACTGTAGGGTGCAGATGAGGGAGAATATAAGAGATTTTTGTCTAGTTAGAGCCAAGAGACACAGAGCTTGTAAGACAGATGAGAGGATAGGCTGTATAGAAGTCAATCTCATGGTTTAACCATTTCGCTGCATTTCCCGCACTTGCCATTTTATTCTGGCTACAGTCAGGCGATTTTATTCAGCTTAGGGTAACCTCCTGCAGCTAAAGGCTTAAGATATAGAGAGAGCATGATGAAACTCACTTTGTTACTGTTGAGGCCTGAGAAGTAGGAAAGAACTCACCTCGTTACAACCTGTGCCGTAGAAGCCGGGAGGGCAGGTGAGTGAGCAGGTGGGGCCAGTCCTGCCGGGGGTACACAGGCACCCCGACGTGTCACATTGGCCGGGACAGTCAGCACATGTCAGCGAGCAGTTGGGCCCAAAGTGTCCAGGAACACAGCCTGGAGGGGGAAATGACTGATCACACATAAGTTACAATCCATCTTCTTCTCTTTGTCTTATGTGTTGAATGTGGCATCCTCTTCCCCAATACTGCTCACAATGATCCATTAAAAAATACTGCCTTTTCAATCAACTTATACACAAAAATTAAAAGAAAAAACTCACAGATGTGCATCATGATGATGCCTGTCTAGAGGCATAACAAATGTCTATCATGAAGTTATGTTAAGGATGAATTAAGGGAAGTTAGGAAGGTATGATAAGTAGAGAGATACAGACAATAGCTTCAGGAGACACTATCAGAAAACAGCATAAGGTGATCACATAAGGTGGATTATAAAAGTTACGGAGAATATTTATTACTTACGCGTGTGGACAGTATGAAATTTTGAGTACTCGGCATACGTAATGTCCTCCCATGTGTCACGTGTCTTGGCCGACGTGTCCTCAGGCACCGTGAAGTCGTCCTCCAGCGCCGTCCCCAAGTCCAGGTCCCCACGAGAGCTCTGACCCAAGTAGTCGTCCGTGTACTGGTAGTCCACTACTGATGGGTAGGTGGTAGGTTAGAGGGGGGAGTGGGAGGTGAGAGATGAGAGGTGGGAGTGGGAGGTGAGAGGTGATAGTGGGAAGTAGGAGGTAGGAGTAGGAGGTAGGAGTAGGAGGTAGGAGTGGGAGGTAGGAGTGGGAGGTGGGAGTGGGAGGAGAGGTGGGAGTGGGAGGTGAGAGGTGAGAGTGGGAAGTAGGAGGTGGGAAGTAGGAGGTGGGAGTGGGAGGTGGGAGTGGGAGGAGAGGTGGGAGTGGGAGGTGAGAGGTGGGAGGTGAGAGGTGGGATGTAGAAGTGGGAGGGGGAAGTAGGAGGTGAGAGGTGGGAGAGGGTGGTAGTATGAGCTTTGAGTAAATGCTTGACTTTACAGATCACTTATAAGACACATTACTCGGTTTGCATCACTCCTAAGCAAATATAACACGTCTTACCTTGTTCCTACAGCGTATATCTAAAAATCCTCACTGATAAAATTAATGTTTATCCTTTTTAGACAATGTATATTAATAATGCAGGATTTTTACCATCACCTCGGTTTAAAAAAATGAGACATGAAAGGCACTGAGGATGACATAGTTATTTCCAAAGACATAGGTAAGCTAAGAAGGACGCATCCAGTCTAAACTTACTCTCGCAGTGGTTGAAATCAATGAGGTTATAACCACTGCGGCAGGAACAGACAAAGGAGCCCTGGGTGTTGCGACACTCGTGCTCACACCCGCCGTTCTCTCGCTCACACTCGTCCACATCTGAGGATATAGAATGAATTACTGGGGTGATGGTGACACTACTTCCTACAGCACTGACACAGCTCTGTTCCATTGTATAACACATTCACAAGATTTATAATAACAGATAAACAAAACAGACTACACAGTGCTCAGTCCATTACAGATAGAAAAATACACACCCACTTTATTTTACCGACTCAAACATACTGCTGCATGACATATTAATTTGGAGTATACACAGATGGACAGGGCATAATGGAACTGGGAAGAAGGTGTCAGTAATACTTGCTGATAAAGTACAGTATTGACAACAGGAAATATATGATTTAAAAAGAAAGTTCATAAGCATATTTAGAGCCATGACAATGAAGGGGTAAAAGGTTGTCAGACTGTAGTGAAGACGGAAAGATTAGAGAAATAATTTTATGTACCGTACTAACACGAGCCACATGCAAGGTGAGGCCATTTTTGTTAAAAGTGATTCTTACTAAGAAAGATAAAAATGTCGGAGGTGTGAGCTGTAACCCTGGAAGAATAAGGCAGGTGTGGGTCACTTACCGACGCAGGTAAAAGTGTCGGAACTGAGAATGTAGCCCTGGGTGCAGGCACAGGCGTAGCCGCCAGCGGTGTTGACACACTCCTGCTGGCATCGGTGGGTTCTCGCTTCACATTCATCCTCGTCCTGTGACATACAGACAGATAGTAATCCAAAGGTGACAGGGATAAAGAACAGCTGTAACCTACGCACAGAAGAGAAATGAGGAAAAGGAGAACTAAGCAACAAGACTCTCTAAAGAAAGGCTTCTGACATTTGGTAAAGATGGAACAGATGGTTAATGTCCAAACGCCTTTATATATTTCCTCCATATTTTACACTGTTCATTCTCGTTTCCATTTACTGACTCGGTATCATGCAAATAATATCTCCAGAAATTTTGGTTCAATTCCATACGTTATTTCTGGGGCTAATCGTCTCCACCTTTGACTAACATTTCAACAACCTTCACCCAAAACCCAGAATTAAGTATCTCATCCATTGCATCTCTTGTCCAGCTGCCTAGGTACTCCCTAATAAAAGGTAGTGTTTATTTATGAATGACAACAGTGGAAGACTCTCACCTTATAGATGGTACTGAAGACTCACTTAACAGACGGTACTGAAGACTCACCTAATAGACGGTACTATTAAGCTGGGATAGGTAGCCTGGGGAACAAGTGCTCTCATTTACCTGACAAGTACGACGATCAGGCTGCAGCAGATAGCCTGGATGACAGGTGCAAACGGCCCCACCTGGACCATGACGACACATGTGTTGACAGCCGCCGTTGTTTTCCAAGCATGAATTAATCACTTCCATGTCGATCACTGATGGTAAAAGACATGCAAAGTCGGTCCCCTTAACTGTTCACATTTGTAACCCATCAGTTTACCACTTATTATTTTTCTAGACCATGAGGGACACGTGTTATGTATGACTGTAGGAAGATAAAGCAGGATGGGAAACATGCTGAACATAAACAATTATTTGTATTTATAACCTGATACCCTCCATGTAGTGGACCAAGACTGGACCATAGAGGGCAGCACTGTAATATCTGTCAACTATTGTGAGAAGGAGGGAAGTGAATCATATAATCCAAAATCTGTAAATAGGGGTCAGGTCATTCAGGGACCACCAGCTAGTGAGTGACAATCATGAGTAACTGACACTACTTACTAAAACAGGACTTGTGGTCAGTGCCCAGCTGGTAGCCGGGGTTACAGAGGCACTGGTAGGACCCCCAAGTGTTTTGACACTGATGGCTGCAAGTTTCGGGTATTTGGCATTCATCCAGATCAACACAGGACACTTGGTCGTCAGCCAATTTGAAACCTCGCCGGCAGGAACAACGTGCCTGCCTTTGCTCAACATGGCAGCGGTCGTAACAGCCACCGTTATTCTCAGAACAGGGATCCACTGCCTCACATGTCCGTCTGTCGCGCTGTAGACGGTATCTGTAACAAAATCAAGTTGTACAGTCACTCAAAAAAGTCCTGTCGTGAACCACGATTCAGACTTGTGAACCCGAAGCAGTAGACACTGATACATTATTCTGTCCATAAATGCTTCGGATTGAAGAGTCTGAATCTCGGGCTTCATGGTTCGCGACAGGACTTTTTTGAGTGACTACAATTCATTACCTTAGAAGAGGGAGTTGTGGACAAGGTGACTACAAGTCTACCTCAGTGTTCTATGGTGGGTTTGGATATCATATGTATTTACAATTGATAACTGTATAGTACTTCAATATCCAAGAACCATACATAGGGAAACAAACCCTGAGAATTTCCCAGAATGCCTTGTGGTAAACAAACATAATGCCATTCTCTCTCAGAGCTACTGTTAGTATATAGTTAGTTTATTGACAAAAAATTACAGTACAGTACAAGAATAATACTGTACAGTACATAAAATTACATATACTGTAATGTAGTGTCCACCGAAATAACTGATAATTCAGCAAACTACAAGGAGCAAAATACATTAAATATTAGAAAATTATTCAAAACATACCCGGGCTGGCAGGAACAGATGACCTGCCTGGATGAGTCGTTGCAGACGTGGTCACAGCCACCATTCCTCACACTACAGAGGTCCTCACCTGCATGAGACACACATCAGTGAGGAAGACTATGAACAGCTAAAATGACAGGATGGTAAAGTTGATGGTAGAGCTAAACTGCAGTGTCTTTTTTCACATAAATTCAGGAAATTATTTGTTACTCAAGATAAACACAGGTGGAAATAAAGTACTTCCAACTTCTTTACCATTCAACAAGTTAAATAATTATCACAGTGAGGAGGATAATAGTGTAAAGGAAAGGTGCTTTTGTCTTCGCTTTTCTCATCATTATCATAATTTCTTCACCCCCTTGTTCTTTTCATCTTTCAACCAAGTCTTATCTTTGCAAGTACAGTCACAGGGCAGGAGGCAACACTCAGGTCTTACTTTGAAGTGAGACGACTGGAATAGAAAACTAGCTGGACCACTAACTGGTGAAAGTGGAAACAACAGGCAGAAACCAGCTACCGGACCTTGTGGCTTCAGGAAAAATAGACCCGAGTTCTGGTAGACCCTTAATCTATAGTGGATTCCTGTGGAACAACAACTGCTCTCATTTGATTAAGAAACTCGCATCTTGAAAACCTTCCAATGCAATGTGAAGTGTTTTCTATTCAGTGATCCTTGGTAGAATCCACCAGGAGGAGTCCAGGGAGTTATAAGTTTAGTTACCCGAAGTTTCTAATCATAATGGAGCAAAACGAGGAAATAATGTGAGGGTGATCAAAGGACATTGCCCTGATCTGATCGGTGTTGTACAAGTAATAGAATAATAAGTACATAATGGGGCCTACGAGGACTGGGGCCCTTCTGATCAAGTCAAGAAGCCTTAGCTACAACTATGTGACATATGGCAGTGGCTGAAACTCGCCTATGCAAGTGCGGCCGTCTGGGAGGAGACGTTGGTTAGAGCCGCATCGACACTGGTAGGAGCCCACCGTGTTGACACACTCGTGGGAGCACCCGCCGTTGTGGTAGTCACACTCGTCCACGTCTGTCATACAACAACACTATTACTGGGGTGCCTAATATTCACGTGATATCGATTACTAAAAGTCGCTAAGAAAAAGTTCAATATAAAACTGGATAAACAGAAGGTAACATGCAGGAACTATGAACAATGATCTTGTCAAGTGATGAACCTGTTAACGGTAATCACTGTTTATGACAGTAATTGTCATATCCAGGTAAGGGAGGAAGTCCCCCTCATTAAGTTACTAAATCAGGGTATTTACTTGAGATATGGAAGCTGCTGTCAATAAGATTATGATGCTGATTTCTTGTTACCGAGTCAAGGTGTACTTCAGGAGCACCAGCATAGCTCTTAAGGATAATTTTATGTAGAATTCTGTAGTCAGGGCTGCAGCAAATACAGTAAAAATAACAGTGCAGGAAACAACCACTTACTGTACCTTGGCAGGAGCGGTTGTCGGGCAGGAGCCTGTAGCCGGGGCTGCAGCAACACATGAAGGAGCCCACAGAATTTTTGCAAGTCTGGTCACAGCCGCCATTGTTCTCTCGACACTCGTCTCTATCTGTCAACACCGCCAGGAAGAGACGACAACCTTTACAGTCACCCAAAGAAGTCCTGTCGCGAACCACGATTCAGACTCATGAACCCGAAGCAGTAGACACTGATACATTATTCTGTCCATAAATGCTTCGGATTCAAGAGTCTGAATCTCCGGCTTCATGGTTCGCGACAGGACTTTTTTGGGTGACTGTACAGTACTGTATCTAACATTTATCTCTTGTCATCATCAGACCTAAAACAACATACAAAAGCATCAAAGGCTCAATATGACAATTAAAATTATTACAACATTGGTCAGTGCAGACAAAAATCCAACAAAAACGCCGAAGATTCGTGAAATAATCGAAGAGTAATGAAAAAGTTGACAATAGAAATGCTAACGTGACGCTAAAAACTGGAACAAGGAGAAGGAATAGACCCAGTGTGGTAATAACTTCTAATATTAGATCAACGTAGTTTACTATTGGCCCTGAGATAGAAAAAACGAAGGGAGGGAGGAGGCGGTGTTAGGAGAAGCAGATGTATAGTATCTAGCCAAATTTGGGAAGACGGTCATCTGAGACTCTTAAATTATTTACGTTGTGAGGCGTACTGGTAGCGATGGTAGTGGTGATACGTCGGTGGTAGCGTGTGGTTGTGTTAGTGGTTGTTGGAGATTGTGGTTCGGGTTGTGTGGTGGTGGTGATGACGGTACGAGTCAAGGTACACTAGGTAGTATGCGGTACTCGCGCTGGTACTCTTTAATCGTGGAGAAGAAGCGCGTAGGAAGAAGTGATCATTTAGTTTAAAATGCGTTTAGTTTTGGATCTTGCCTGCGACGCCCAAACCTACCCGCACACCTTCCAAACAGCCGCTGGAACAAAAGCTGAGATCATCACCCTCACCTCTAATGAACAAAATTACAGTTTAAGTAACGATAATGATACAACGTGAAATTAATTATTAGAAAAAGATTACACATAATGAGTAAGAGTGGATAACAGATAGCCTCAGCGAAGAGACGATAGCCTCATGGGTAAGACAATAACCAGCGAGCAACACCCACGATAGTCATCTCCTTGGGACATATAAGGCTCCCGAAGGTGTATTGCTCTGACCACCATAACCAGGGAATTATTTATCTGCTTCAGCCGCCACTCCACCAGCCACGCTCTCTTAATATGACAGACTAGAGGCGCCTATTTAACACTCATAATGTAGTAAATTTAACACGGATACTATTATTTGATCATTTGTTCACGGGTTATACATGAAATCCAAAGCAAAGTTTATGTGGTTCCTGCTGTCTTGTGAAACTCGAAACTAGGATACACTGCCAGGCGAGACACTTGCATGAATTAAGAGGCTATTTATATAATCCTTTAGGTAATAACGAGACGACAATTCCTGAACTTATTTTCAACCTGGAATTCTTAATATTAGACTAAACGGATAGAACTTACGTATGCTATTTAACTATTAATATGGTAGATTATTCATATTTGGTAAATATCATAAAATCCTTCATTGCTTTTACGCTGAGTTTTTAAGGCTGGTTTCCGCAGTGAGCTGCTGACAGTTGACCAGTTTACGTCGTCCTAATTTTGACGTTAGTTTAACTGACATCTATTGGTACTTTCTCTGTGTACATTATCAAGTGTTACAGTACACTGATCATAAGTTGTGTTCATGTATTTATACCATTTCCATTTATAGCCTCAGAAACACACTTGTAAGCTGTTGTTTATGTTTTGCAATAACTAAACTAATAGCAATAAATATACACAAACATTACGATAAAATTACACACGATATAAAGATTTATTTATATATAACCTTATCATTAATGTTTCCTCCTGATATTTGGGGAAAATTAACAAAACACCTAAATGGAATAAATTTCTTTCTGTGACTGTTATTGTTCTGGGTTTAGAGGCGCAATAAAAGCATAAGTCTACCAAGACGCCACTAGCATCGTCCCCACTACACACACCATCTTTACAGTGCATTCAGAGTCCCACCCCATACTACCTAACAATTTGTCTAATTCACGTTTTTTTTTTCGTTTTTTTTTAATCGTCTCCATCACTCTCTTCCTCTTGACGGTCTTACTGGCGCCGAGATAACGCGCCACTCGTCACGCATTAGGACAAGCAGGAAGGATTATGCCAGGCCAGGCGTCCGGCGTGTGGGACTGAAGTTGGATGGATAGGGAATGGGAGGTGGGAATGAGTGTAGGAAGAGCGGGGCAAAGTGGCATGGGGGAAGAGTGTAAGTGTAAGGGGTGGGGGGAAGCGTGTGAGGGAGAGCGGAAGATGGGGGAAGTATGTAAAGGTGGAGTCGGGGTATGCAAATGAAGTTAGGGCGGAAGTTTGCACGTGGGGGTGGGACGAGGGCGTGTCTAAGAATTATGTGAGGGGCGGAAGGGTGTGAGTGGTGGGTTCTCGTGAGTGGGACGGAGATGTGGATGGATGGATGGATAGATGGATGGATGAAGGTGTAATGGAGTTTCTTGTGGAGACGAGGATGTATTTCTGCGTGGGGATAAGAAGGGTGGTGACATACGAGGCTGCGATAAACGTGAGGAATAAAGATGAGAATATCGAGTTAGCGTTACATGATGCAAGAGAAACATACTGACAGGTATTAGGCTATGAGGCGTCGTGGTTATCCCTGAATATAAAGAATCAACAGCAAAAATATGGAACTGTCTCAGATGTTCTCGTGTCGGATGAAGGTGGGTGGGAAGTGATGAGTTGTGGATCGTTTGTAGTGACAGGAATTATCTACAAACTGAAGAATGTTACGAGATGTCTCTGAGATGGTGGAATGCTGTAAATTTTGGGGGTAAGGTCATTCGTGGCAATTTGTTTATAATACTTTTCTACACTGATTCAAGGCAGCGAAATACCACAACACCTACATTATGAACCAAAGATAACAACGGCAATATTACCTTGTATAAATGACTGCCAGCTGTTTATCGGTAATGAATACGTTTTGAGTACCATTCCCTATACCGTCTGCTGCTTCTCATGTTCTGAAGCTCAATTAAGAAGCAACATAGGCCACCATTACACATTGGGCTGGTCGATATTGTGTGGCTATATATGGTAGCCAGAGAAAGACGGAGTGTATATCAGAACTAAACTGGTGTTCTCTTGGCAGTTTTGGGAGTTAATGATAACTTCTCGTCGACACTTAAGAGACCCCGAGCCGACGTAGATTATCACCTATAAGTTTTGTGGGGGCGACGACGAGGCAGAGTATCTCATATGCCATAATCACTATCATTATGTGATTACGGTGAGTTATGGAAGACACAGGAGGTAGCTTCTTAGATGATCCATATCTGATTGATTTTTACAGTATCTATATTTTTAGAGTCTATTTTGTTTGCCATGGCTTATGTCTTCATCTCTTCTTCGACCAGACAACAGTAGCACACAAGGATAAGACATCTGTTGTTTTTTTCAGTCCTTGGTTAGTACATAAGTCTATCCCAAAGACAGACAACCTAGGACTGGTACCCATTAATCCCTCTGCACGGGGCTCTCTGTGTTGAAGGCGTCACCCACCTCAAAACCCTCACCATCCTTCTTCCTAGTTTGTAATAACTGCTTTAACATTCATACTTCCTTTCTACTCCTTCTCTTCCTTGTTCCTCTCTCCCCTCCTAGCTCCTCTCTCCCTTCCTTACTCCTCTCTCCCCTCCTTGTTCCTCTCTCCCTTCCTTACTCCTCTCTCCCTCCCTTACTCCTCTCTCCCTTCCTTACTCCTCTCTCCCTTCCTTACTCCTCTCTCCCTTCCTTGCTCCTCTCTCCCTTCCTTGCTCCTCTCTCCCTTCCTTGCTCCTCTCTCCCTTCCTTACTCCTCTCTCCCTTCCTTGCTAGAACAACGTTGATGAAGAGCCACCTGGACGGACGTGGCTCAGCTAAAAGGTAAACATTAGCACGAGGGGTTCCGGTGGCCAGGCAGTATGGCCATCGTCAGTCATCGCTGGTTGATGGTCCTTCCTGGGTCTGCCGTGAGAGATAAAACCACCCGACAAACACTGTACTGTATACCAGAGTTGCCGGGGCGTCGTGTTCCGCTGATCCCGAGTTCAACCGCTCAGAACATCATTACTCCTCTTTTGTCTAATACATCTCTCACTAACTCTAAGATTCAATTATTTTAGTGTAAATTACTACACAATATCAGTTTTTACATGTCTCCAAGCGTTACCTCGTGTTGATAGAAATATACAAACACAGGTGTGACAAGATAAGTGTTATGACAGATACATGCAAGAAGTCAGTGATAATCAATTTAGCCTGAAAGCTTCACTATAGCGTACACTTACCTTCATGTTTGCTGAATGTGTAGGTGAAGAGAGTGTGGTATATGTACTCTGCTGCCCGTAGTTATATGTTTGTTTTTATAAGCGTTGTATGCATGTTTGTAGGTTGTGTTTGTATGTGTGCTGTGAAGGAGTGTTGTAGTGTTTGGGCAGGTGTTGCATGTGAGTGTTAATGTAGTTATATATTTGTGTTTTGTGCAAATATGGAAAGTTGAGATAGGAAGAGAAAATGGTAGTGAAGATTTAGAGATGAAACTACACATAAAGTAGGAGAGTTTTAAAGAATCTGAGTTTAACCAAATGGCTCACTGGTGCTACCTTAATGGCAACAGACACATGCACAAGACAGGTGTAGGCTACTCACCATACTGGCAGCGGGAGCCGTAGTAACCTCGGGGACAGATGCAGCGGTTGTAGACACAGCGGCCACCGTTGTAGCAGAAGATGCGGCCACACGCAGCTGTAACCAGACAGATCAGCAACACTGCCCGCAACACGTGCCGTCCCGCACCCATCCTGGCCACACTTACACACCTGTACCACAGCTGTCCTCACCTCCGTCTCCACTAATTAACTACACCTGGATGACAATTCTTCATTATCTCCATAAATAGGAGTCTAATTTCTGCTCTTTTTTCCTGTTTAATGTTAAGTAATTATTATATTTCCACCACACTAATGTCACATCACAGTTCAATTTATATTCTTGTTTTCATGTCTAATAACAACAGAGTGAATTAATCTATGCATTGTTTGTATTCATCATAGACCACAAGGTTGACAAGACATACACAAGTTCCTTTACAGGTTTGTCCACACACACACACAGCCCAAGATGGTGCCATAACAGTACACACGATGATACAGTGAGCCTTGGGGCAGTTCTCCAACCTTACACTTGAACACGACTAAACCTTACACTTGAACACGACAAACCTTACACTAGACTTACAGAAGTGGGAAAAAAGTACATACAAAAAAAGAAAAGAATCCCACCATTAAAAAATACCAAAAAAAAAAACAAAAAAAATGAACTTTTTATCACAGTCTACCATTAAATCATCCAGGAACGTTTTCTGCTACGCCAAATCACGCAGTACCTCTCACAACACTAGGGGAGGATTCTTTTACCGCGTCGTCTTCCCTTCTTCGTCGTGATAGAGATGCAGATACTCCAGAATTATCTAACACAAAATTTACAATCAACATCAGAGGTAAATAGTACTCTGTCAGCCGTAATTACATCGTTGAACAGATGATTATAGGAACAGATCAACAGGTGTGATTTAAATTACCTGAGTTCTGGGTAATCCACTTTTTTTCTTGTTGTTCATTGTAAATTTTACCTTCTAGAAGATCATACATCCACGAGAGGAAGGGAGGTTAGGTTAGGCTAGGCTAGACAGCATCAGCATGCCTCTGTTGACCCAGAGAGTAAATTAAAATAAAATAAATTAACTCAGGATACAGGACTTAAAGGATATTCTTATCTTCACAATGTCCTCAGTTTATTTTCTTACGCTGCTAGTTCGTGATAACACTGAGTACACTATTATTTGTAAACATAAAAGAGTAAAATTATCTAACACTGTTGCTTTTTACCTCCTAAGAAGTTCCTTGTTGTTGCCATCTGTTCGCTGCAATATGTTACCTGTGTGAGTGTGTGAACCTTTTAATATAAACGGTAAACAAGAGAGTCAACATCCCTCCTCCCCATTACTAGTCACACCGTAACTTTAAAGTAAAAAAAAAAAAAATTCAGGCAATAAAACAACTGAGAAAAGATGTACTTGAGAAATATCGTTGCGAACAAATTTCTTCCTGTCGAGTGTTGGCACCAAGTTCTCCTGTGACGCACGATACCCCTAGCGTGCATATGTTACATTCCGTTGCCAGTCTGGTGGTATTTGTGTATATGAATGATCTGTCAAGGTGTAGGTGTGTGGGTTCTTACACTTAAGTATCTCCAAATCAAAACACAAACAGCTGATTCTGTCATTATAAAAATCACCTAACATGTTTCGTTTACCTACAGGTGTGTAATAATACAGGTAAAGCCGAGAAACATGGTAATTAGTATAACTTTCACTGCCACATTGTCATCTCAGCCTAAGGTATACCAAATGTTCCTCTCTCCTCTAATTCCTTCTCGGTTTATCCTTTGTTTCGTCTATTATCTCATCTTTATCTTCGTTTCAGACTATTCCCTCTTTTCTTTATCATTCAACCATCCTTCCCTTTCCCCCCCTTTCGTTAATTCTTCATCCATCTCCGTCTACACTACTCCCACTCTCTTCCCTAAAGTACCTGACACATTCAATCCATTCTTTAAAACCTTGATATCTATCCTAGCCTATCCATTACACCCAGCAAAATTCATTCTCTATCTTCTATCCACTACCTTCCTCAATAACCTATCCCATCACACATACTATCAGTTCATTCACCTTTGCTTTCTACCTATTGTGGATAAGGTCCCCCTCCCCACCTCGTCCTCCCCTCTCACCCTCTCCCCTTACACCCCAACTATGTATATCTGTCACTGAGAACCCGTCAACGTGTACAGTAAGGACAATAAGTTTATAGGATGAATCTGTTGTATTATTGTTAGAGTGAGACGTGAGTAACGAGGCACAGGTGGTGAGTGGGGCACAGGTAATGGGGGTGTACAGGTAGTGGGTGTAACACAGGTAGTGGGCGTAACGCAGGTGCTGGGCTATAAAACAACATGGCGACTTTGTGCAATAGAAAAATATAAAAGTATTTTACGCTACAAGGAGACATTCATTTACCAGCTATTGTCTGAGTCTCGTAAATCAGGGGAGTCTGTCATAACACCAGACGGTAGATGTTCTCAAGGGCCTTCGTCAGCTCCAAGAACCGCATTGAGGGAATAAATTTGAAAGGTAGAAAAAGCCATCACAGAAAACATGCCGAATCTAACGTAACCTAACCTAAACTAACCTCGTCTAAACTAAGTTAACCTAACCTAACATAACCTAACCTAAGATAACTAAAACACATCGGTATTGACACACAGGAAACGTTGGCATCACAAGACATACATTCATCTCGCATATTGGCTCTGAAATTACACACACACACACACACACACACACACACACACACACACACACACACACACACACACACACACACACACATACACACACACACACACACACAGTAATGTTTATTTATAGAGTGAACATATCTCTATATTTACTGTCATGTGTATCATCAGCCTGGCGTCTACACAGGTAACAATTAATTTACCCCCAGGTACAGTACACCTGACTCCCTCTCTCTCTCTCTCATCTCGTAGTACCGATATATTGTGTGTTTTTTGTGGCATCTGGCGTTCGTGTCTGAGAGAGTTCACATATAAGGTCGTATATTAGGGAGAATAATGGTACAGGTTGGTACAGAGAGGTAAAGTTTGGTGTTGTAACCGATCATTATACCTCAAGTTGTGTGTATCTTAACCTAACATATCTAATCTTATCTAACCTAACCTAACCTATCCTAAAGTTGTGTCTGTATCTTAATCTGAATTGTAAAATAGATTATTCAAAGTAAATATATTAGATATAATACTTAATCATATCTAAACACAAGTTATATACCAGGGTGTGACTATAATATCTCTCTCTCTCTCTCTAATCTCCAGTAACATTAAAACATTCCCAACATTTTCCACCATTTGATACAACACAAATTCTTTAACTATTGTCAAGAGTCTCAAAGGTGCTAGTTTTCTTCTAGGGATTTATATTAATATCTACTATGGATGTTTTTTTTTTTATAAGCATCCTCACCAAGATAAATGGTAGCAGCTGTGACCTGACACCTAGTTGGCAGCTGACTATACTGTAGTTGTTATTATGTGGCTGCAGGAGGAACTCAAGTCTGTGTCCTGACTAAAGTGTTTACGGTGATTATAATGACTGACATACATACAGACAGACAGACAGACAGACAGACAGACAGAGAGACAGACAGACATCGAAGGCATTTATTTATCATAGTTTTTGTCACTCTTATAACTGTTTGGAATTGTTAATGCGTTTAGCTTAGATATTAAAAAAAATATAAAAAAAACTTTAATTATTACAGGATTAAGATAGGAAAAGCCCAGCCCAGCCTAGCCTAGCCCAGCCCAGCCCAGCCCAGCCCAGCCCAGCGAGATACAATTAATTCTGGGGATTATCTCGTATCTGGATTAAAGCATATGAGGAAATTAATATCCCAATTTCTACTAGAGGTAAAGTGTATCTCTTGTTAATTAAGGTTCTAGGTGAGAGTTGGGTTTAGAATACATGACTGTCCTCACGTCAAGCATTGTTGATGGAGTAGATCATGTTAAGAAGTGAGTGGAACAAAGAGTGAACACACACACACACACACACACACACACACACACACACACACACACACACACTCTCTCTCTCTCTTCTCCACCCGACAAAGTAACTATTTCAACGAGCACTTAGAAGAGGATTTAATATCTCGTGTAGCTTATTACAGTTAGGTAGAGACTCAGAAATGTGGCAAATTTATAGATGGTGATAATATTATACTAGAGTTTACTGACCTGTCCTGACCTAACCTAACCTAACCTAACCTAACCTAATCTAACCCTCACTCTTATCTCACCACGATACCACATACTGTAAACATTTGATATTTTAGTGATGGAAGCGACGTGTTGTTATTGTTCGATTGTCAATTGTTTTGCATACTTGGGAAAGAAGACTAAGGAGAAGAAGACAAAGAAGAATAAGAAGATAAAGAAGAAGAAGACAAAGAATAATAAGAAGACAAAGAATAATAAGAAGACAAAGAAGAAGACAAAGAAGAATAAGAAAATAAAGAAGAATAAGAAGACAAAGAAGAAGATAAAGAAGAAGAAGACAAAGAAGAATAAGAAAATAAAGAAGAATAAGAAGACAAAGAAGAAGAAGATAAAGAAGAAGAAGACAAAGAAGAATAAGAAAATAAAGAAGAATAAGAAGACAAAGAAGAATATGTATGTTAAGAGTGTCCATTGAAAGTGATGAGAGGTTTCCGGGCACAGTAAGGTCATGATTTATTCTGGGAGTTGCCAGCACGGAGGAGGAGAGTTACAGGCTGCAATCTGGCACTTAGGGAGGAAGGAGGTTGGGGAGGGGTGAATAGGAGGGGGAGGGGAGGGGGGATGTGAATAGGATGGGGAATAGGGGGAGGCAAGAGGAGGAGGAGGAGTGAAGTAAATAGGAGAGAGGTAAGAGAGGGGAGAGGAACGAAGTGAAGTGAAATGAAGGAAAAAATAAAGGACTATTTATACCTATCATAATTCAGAGAAGACAAATTGACGAAAAAATATGGAGAAAAAAACGATTATACAATATACAGGAAAATTAATAACGAATAAATAGGAGAAAGAAAAAACAAAAATTAAAAGTGGGAAAGGAAGAAAGG